GCTCAAAAATTGAGTCACTAAAAAATAATGCAAGCAAATAGAGATAAATTTTAGTTCATGTCTTGATGAGGCAGGTTTTAGTTCTTCTTTAAGGAGTCTCTGGCAGCAATAAAAACTCAGATTGCTGAAGAATCACTTGACTAACAATCACAATAGTGTCTCATTGGAACATGTAAGACTTGTTTTTAATGACAACGGTAAAGTCATTGGCTGCTACCAGGCCCATGGTCCCTGTTGTATTCATCAGGGTATAACTAATTTGCATTGACTAATTTGCTGTAGAATTAGTCTTCACTGAGCATTCCCTGCCACCGGGCTCCTGAGAAAGAGATGAGTTCTCTGTCCTTGTTTGCATATGGGTTTTGAAAAATAAAAGGGCCAAATTTGAATTAGGAATATCAAGTAAACTATTGACTGCTAAGAGTAAAGAAAAGGACCTTTTCACTTCTTTGTTTCGTGGAGCTGATGGGTAGGTTCTTATTGAATTTTCCAAATGTCCTTTTGTAGCAAATAAAGTCAATTAAATGCAAAGCTGTTAGATAGATTGATAACTCACTAGCAATAATTCCTCACCTTAAATGAATTATAATGTTAATGGCTGTGAAGATCCAGAAGTCTTAATATGTGTACCTCTGCAGATCTGAACTAAAACTAGGGAGAAGTCTTAATATGTGTACCTCCTCAGGTCTGAACTAAAACTGGGAAGATTTTTAGAAACAGAATTATTATGTAGAGTTGCTGATTTGGGAAGTAGTTTAATTTCTTTTTCTTCTTTTAAGGTGAAAGGTTAAAAAAAACTATGATCTGAATGAATAAATCCATGCTGATCCCTGTTGACTGCAGTTCTTTCCATATTTTTGAATAATCATCTTTGAAAGACACCTTGTATCCTTTAAGGTGAGAACATAGAAAATAAGACAAATATTAACAATCATTATCTAATTTCTAACACTACAGAATGCAACAGAATATTCATTCTCCTTTTTAAATTTATACACACAAACATATTAATTCTATAAGAAGTGATACAATACCAATTTGCCTTTGCATCAAGATAAAGTCTACATGGTACAAAATATGCAAATATATATTAATATGTAATATACATGAAAATATTTTTGGACATGAAAATTTTGTTTGTATAATTTTCTTATTATAGTTTGGAAGGGGAAGATTTACTGTTCTAATTGTAAAGTTGCCATGTTGGAAATTCCAGCATGGCTTTCTGGTTTTGCTATTCCTATCCTACTTGGGATAACTAAAACTCTTTTAGCCAGCCAGATGTAGAATTTCTCCAAAGAAGGAATCCCATAGTACCTTCTTGACATTTTTAGAGAAATACCTCATGATTAAGTGCTATTTTTATCAATCTTCAAATTTATCCTCATGTCTTTGTGTTGAAGCCAACACCAGAAATTCTCAACAATATTCCTCTGCTTATTTTTAAATTGTTTCCTTCTACAAAGTATGTAAGAATAATTAAAACAGAAGAAAATGAGTATATACAATCACATTTTTTTTCTAGGCAGCATCCAAACTTAATATATACAGAAACAGAAAAATATTCTGGTGCCAGTTTATTTTCACGTTCCATTTCTTTCTGAAATATAATAAAACAAAATTGTACTTATGCCTATGTAACTGTGATTTAGAGGTAAGAGGAGACCCTTTAAGCTTGTTAAAAAACTATTTCTCTCCAATTTAAAGAAACTCTGCAGGTTGAATATGAGAATTATTCCATTATAGAAGTGTTCGAATGTCCAGTTTATTCTGGTCAGTTTCCCCAAATATGTATGTCTTATTTCACACTTCCATTAGCTTCCAATACCCTAGCAGATTACCTGAGTGAAAACTTGCTTCTTTTCATGGCAAATGCTTGGGAAACTCTTGGCACAATTATTTATTATAATCACAATTCTGGTGCTTAATTATTAATATTAATGATGTTTGAGTTTAATACATCAATGTGTTTTCTGAACCATGGATCACACTTTCTGTGTCAGCGAGTATTCTGATTTCTCTCCCAGATCTGTGTCGGTGGGACTTTGACAATCGCCATTAGCTGTCTCCACTCTCATCCCACACCTAATGATGGTGGCAGTTCAGGCTGTAAAATACAGCACAGTCATCTAGAGGCACTGCTGAAACCAAGGGCAAGGCTTCAATCCAGGAAAACACTGCCTAACTGGGAATTGAGAGAGACCTAAAATACTGCGTGATTTACAGGTTGCCATTTATACTAAAACTACCAGTACTGCATCTCCATTTCTAGAGCAAACAGACACACGTTTAGTACACTAGAGAGCTGGCACTTATTCTGCTGGGTGACATGAAGTTTCCTATAGGGACTGAATTGACTGCAGTAAACTGAGTCCTCTCACCGTGAATGGTTCTTCCAAGTTCTCCAATTCTTAATCTAGTATGATACTTCCTTCTCGTTCCCCTTCGTTTTATTTTCTCCACATATTAGAATAATATTGCTTGTGGTGCTTCTTTGACCTTTATGTGAACATGTTAGAGCTCTAATCTATGCATCTAAAGCAGTACCTGACATAGCTTCACTACTGTGTGAATTCACAAACATCCAATTGAGGGACAAGAAGGCAAGTTATAAGAGGAAAACAATTTAAGAAAAAGAACAATAACACAAAAGAATTCACGAGAATTTAAGCCTGATAAGCACAAAACCACATGCACACACATGCAAAATTAAACAATAAAAATAAATATTTAAAAATAATAGGTTTTGTGAATATTACAGTATATTCATTAGAATTCAAAACCGGAGGTCACTCAAAATTATTTCTAGTCTAGGATCCTCCTTTGACAGACCAAAAGATGAAATTATAGATCCAATTCTTTCTTCTTTCTTTTTCTTATAAATGGAAAACAGATTCTTCTCTTATACAATATAACCTGACCACAGTTTTCCCTCTCCCCAGTCCTCTCAGCTTCCTCCACACCTTTCTTTTACCCAGATACACCCCCTGTTTCCTCCTCAGAAAAAAGAAACTCCAAGTGGTAACATCCAAACAGGACAAAACAAGACACACTAGGACAAGGTAAAAAGCCCCATAAAGAGGCTGGACAAGGCAACCCAAGAGAAGGAAAAGAGTCCCAAGAGTAGGCAAGAGTCAGAGAGAGACCCATTCCCACTGTTAGGAGTCCCCCAAAACCCCAAGCTAACAAACAACCAAAATATGAATGCAGAGGTGCAGACCCATGAAGGCCCCTGCTTGCTGCTGTGTGAATCCATATGAGCCCCCTAGCTGATATGGTGGGCCAAGTTCTCCTGGTGTTCACTGTCCCCTCTGACTCCTACAGTCTTAGCTCCCTCTCTTCTGAGTTCCCGATCTCTGAGGTAAGGGACCTAGTGAAAACCTCCAACACAGATTCTCTCCACATAATGTCTGTCTGTCAGTCTTGGCATCTGCTTCCATCTACTGCCAGAGGAAAACTTCCTGTTGACTACTAGACAAGGCACAAACCTAGGAGTATAGCCCACATCAGTGGGAACCATTTCACTAGGTTTTATTTCCTGACTTTTTTTTTTATTTCTTCTCTTCCTCTCTTTGTTTCTTTCTTTGCCGGTCACATTTGGTTCTAGTCTAGGACTCTGGACTACACAGTCAGTTTTCTGGCCATCAAGGCAGTACAGACCTGAAGCTGCTTCTTGTGGCTGACTTTGAAGTGATGTCAAATATTGGTTGGCCACTCCCACAAGTGCTAGCACATCACAGTCTTAGGACAGACTGGAGGTGCAGGGTTTTGTGTCCAGGTTTCTCTTTTCTTAGCCTGCACAGTACGTTCTCTGGCCTAAGAGACTAGGGCACAGGGATGAAGGCTCCAAGGAGACCAAACATGACATCTCAATGTACCATGAGCTCTGTGGTAGTTTTCCTAGGGAATGGGGCCCTACTGTCTGTTCTCAGAGAGCGACCTTCTGTCCTAGCATAAGCCTAGGTTGTTTAGAGATCTCCAAAGGACCTCCTCAGCCAATGACTCAGCTGAAGTGTAACCACAGCCTGAAGCTTTGCTTGGCGACAAATCATGGCCAATGCAGACTCTGTATCCTCTATTACTAGGAGTCCTCACTACGGTTACTCTCATAGATTCCAGGATGTTTCCATGGCACTAGATTTTTCACACACCCAAATGCCAACAATTCCAGCCACCCCTCCATGTACTCTCTCCCTCCATCCATCCTCCCACACACCCAATCTGTCCTGCCCCAAGATAGGGTTGGGAGATTTCTCATTGGTGTAGAGTGCTTATTGTTCTTGCAGAAGACCAGGGTTTGATTCTTAACACATATATGATAGATTATACCCAATATTTCAGAGGACCTAAGGCCCTCTTCAGACTTTTGCAGGCACCAGAAACACACATGGTGTACATGCATACAGGCATGCAAAATATTTATGCAAATAAAATACAAGAAAATAGATTTAAAAATAATGTGAATCGTGCATATAAAATTGTTTCACAAAGTAGATTAAGTGAAAGACATGGATAATGAATTCTACCAGTATATTTTCATATGTGAAAGAAAAAATGGCAAAATCCATCATAATTATCATTTTTGAAAAGTAGAGGAATGTGAAGAAATTAACAGAAAGGAGGACTTTAAATCTAGACCAAGTGTGATATAACAGCTATATTAGAAGGTAGTTTGAATGCAATAATTGTAGTACAGACTTGGAACCAATATTCTTTAGCTCCATTATAAGGACATACGCTAAATTCCAATTTAAGCATTAAATATATTTACATTATGTGGTCTTAATTTGTACAAAAACTTTCTTCTAACAATTAAACAAATTCATCTCTTTAAAGAACTCCCTAATTATGAACTAAAAGAAAATAAATTAGAAGCCTTGGTTGTGAGAGCAACATTTTGAAGAGTCTCCATCAGATCCCAGCTCTCAGAAGTTCTAACAACTCTCTGGACTCAGGTCCTGGGATTACACTTGATTTTGGAGTCTTCCCAGGCAAATGTCATGGCCCACTCCAACCATTCCAGCACCTCCTTCTTTCTGACTGGACTCCCGGGCCTTGAGGCTGTGTATGTCTGGCTCTCCATTCCCCTGTGCATCGTGTCCATTGCTTCTCTTGCAGGGAATAGCTTGATCCTGTGGGTTGTAAAGTCAGAGCCCTCCCTGCACCAGCCTATGTACTACTTCCTATCCATGCTAGCAGTGATGGACCTGGGCCTGTCTGCTTCCACACTGCCCACCATGCTCACAATCTACATGATGGGTGTCAGGGAGGTTACTTTAGACATGTGTCTTGCCCAGCTTTTCTTCATTCATACTTTCTCCATCATGGAGTCCTCTGTGCTACTGACCATGGCCTTTGATCGTGTTGTGGCCATCAGCAGTCCTCTGCGCTATGGCACCATCCTCACCAACCCTCGGATTGCCGGCTTGGGCCTGGTCATTGTGGTTCGCAGCATTGGTCTCCACATTCCTGCCCCCATCATGCTGAAAAAACTGCCTTACTGCCAGAAGCGCCAACTTTCCCACTCTTACTGCCTGCACCCAGATGTTATGAAGCTGGCTTGTGCTGACACCCACATCAACAGTATCTATGGCCTGTTTGTGGTTCTCTCCACCCTGGGTGTGGACTCTGTGCTCATTGTTCTCTCCTATGGGCTGATCCTCCACACAGTGTTGTCAATTGCCTCCAAGACTGAGCGCCTCAAAGCCCTCAACACTTGTGTCTCCCACATCTGTTCTGTCCTGCTCTTCTACACACCTATGATTGGCCTGTCCATGATCCACCGATTTGGCAAGCGGGCTTCCCCATGCAGTCGTGTGTTGCTCTCTTATCTTCACTTTCTCATTCCTCCAGTGCTTAATCCGGTTGTTTATACCATAAAGACTAAGCAGATCCGACTGAGGATTCTGCGCATCTTCCGGTCTGGTGGAGCAAACATTAGAGATACCCAGGATCACTGAATCTACTCCCATGGGTATCAAAACATAGAGCTACAGTTTGCATTTTGTGTATTAATTATGACTGATATGATAGACTTTATTGTAGCTGAATCTTTACTGAATAAAATTTATTTTTTACTAGAGTTCAAGAAAAATAAGTGGCAAGCAGAATACTGCTCAGGTTTATAATTTTTTGAGAGAGAAACATTTTGAAAGTATATAATTAGACGTAATATTTTTGGCACAATTATTTGCCTCTTCAATGTACATCCTTTCCTATAAATGCTTTTTTTAGGCATTTGTTTAATATTTGCTTAATAAAGATTGAATGGATAAATAATGTGCTGAAAAAGACTTTTTGTAAGTGCACAACAATTTAAGATTAAATGCTAGGTGACCACAAGTCAAACTATAAACATTTTTAGGACTTTACTATTTTTTTCTATTGTTCAATAGAAATTTCAAAGATAATATAGCTACTCTTTTAAACTTTATTTTATCACAGAGAAAAAAACAATTTTTTTAATGATATAAGAATAGAAACAATTTCAATCAAGTCTCCTTAGAGGCAAGCTTATGTTTAAAGACTCTCAGTAGTCGCCAGGTGGTAGTGGCACATGCCTTTAATTCCATGATTCAGGAGGCAGAGGCAGGCAGATCTCTGTGTGTTCGAGGCCAGCCTAGTCTACAGAGCTAGTGCCAGAACAATCTCCAAAGCCACAGAGAAACCTTGTCTCAACAAAAACAAAAGAAGAAAAAAAGAAAAGAATGCCAAGTGTCTCAGCAGTCTTCAACATAATAAATTGAGTAGTAGCTAGCTTGTAAGTCAAATACAGAGAGCTGTTCCAGTAGTAATACAGTGTGGTGCCCATTTCATTGTGTATTCTTTACTTTCTGAATTTCTCATTTATATACAATTATGAAAAGAACTTAAGGGGAATTCAAGGTAGAACCTAAGCAGCAAACTGATGATCAGCAGACAGCAGAGAAAGACAAAATGTCATGCTAAAGAAAATTAAGGAACTAGTAAAAGTATCATAAGAAAGAGGACTGAATATCCTTTTGGTATTTGTTCATGACCTGAAATATCAGTAGATATGCAAAAATATATGTTTTATAGTTAAAGGTGATAATGATAAAATAGTCTAAGAATGCATTTTACATATATTACTTAAATAGAACACGTTTGTCCATTACATCAAGTAATTTTCCTATAAAAAAGGCATTATATGCTATGTCATTGCAGCAAAACATTTAGTTGAATTATGCATTTTGATCAATTGTATTTTTATCTTTTTGATTTAATAACAGAATAATATGGGATATACTATGATGGTTAAATATTTTTATGGATTGACTAATGGTCAAAGAAGATAATTAACACTTTCTTTATCTAAAACAGTTATCTTTTTCTTGGGGAAAACATTCAAAATATTCTCTTCTAGTTTTTTTTTCAAATACACAACTCACTATTGTTGACTAGATTTATCCTCCTTTGTAATGAGACATCTGAACTATATCCTTGTACAATTGTAACTCTGATCCCATGGAAATATTTCTTCACATTATTGTGTCTTTATAAATTCTTCAGCCTCTTGTGACCACTATTCTAATCTCAACATCTATGAAAACAATCTTAAAAAGTCATTTTGTTTTTTTCTAATTTATGAAATAAGAATTGATGACACATTTTATTGACAGTATAATGAAGGTGGGAAGGATGTTCAATAATTCTATACTTGTTTTGTGACACATGGTATACAACTGCAAGACTCACAAAATAAATCAAAACATCAGTTGCAGTCTTATTACTTGTTTCCATAAACATGATCACTACAATGACTGTGTGCTTCTCATTGTCAAAAACTGAAATAGTCCAAGAGTAAACTGCAACAAACTCAATATTATGAGACAAAGAAAGCAGTAAAGGGGAGGAGGCTGACAGAAGAGATATGTGTTTGGGGTGGTGAACATAATGTGATGCATTTTATATATACAGACATATATAACATGAATATATACATACACATACATACATACATACATATGCCTTTATAACACCCACTGTTTTGATTCTAACTGAAATAATGTAAAACAAAAAGACTGTATTGAATAGAGGTAAAAAGAAAACTATTGATTTCCAATCAACTAATAGAGAATGATAAAGGGGATAGTGAATGAACAACTTCTGTAATTTTGGGGGGAGAAAGGTTATAATTATATTATCATCTCAGAATGTAAAATGTAAAAGAAAATTAAGGAGAAGTGTCAACTTTTCAGTTTCTTCAGATTTTATTATTCACAACAGAAAGACAATCTCAAAGTTCTTTACATATTGGAATATAATAAAATGCTTTAAAGGGAAGAACATTTTATACTCTTTAATGCAGTTTATTTATAATTAAAATAGAGAAGACAAAACAATTATTTTGTTTAAATATATGTATCTTCTGATTGGGTTATTGCCTTCAGGAATATCTGCAGGAGAACTGCTGAGCAACTTTACTAGATTAAAATGACTAACAATTTCTATTTTCCCCAAATGCCTTAATTTCACCATAAATGGTGACAGATGTCTTCTTCCAAATAAATTACAGAATAACTTAGTTATCAATAAATCAATTAAGGGTAAAGTTGGATTTAAATATAAATTATTTATTGAAAATTCAAAAATGTTACACATTATCTGTTTAGGAAAGTTCATTTTAGTGGGTAGTATAAAAATTTTATTGATGCACATTAAGAAATAAATAAAAACAAGTGTAAATTTAATGAACTTTACAAGTTCATTATTTTTAAAAAAGAAGAATATGTGTTCAATTTGACTTACTGTCTAATAACATTTTTAGACATTTATTGTAGTACATTTTGTTTGAGATTTTCATACAGACATAATTAGTCTCGGTAAATTCTAACTCCCAATTACTCTCCTCTAATTTTAGACCTGAACTTCATGTGCCTGTCATTAAGCCCAATGAGTTCACTTGGGGTTACATGTATGCATGAGGTAGGAATATCAAATTGGACCATGACCAGCTTCTCTTAGACTGAGTCTTAAACAAACTCCTCATTGGCAATAGTTCCTCAGATTGTGTTAATATGTCAAAAGCTCTTCCCAGATCCATGCTTTGTA